TCCATCCTCTTCATCTTTCTTTCTCTGTTCAGCATCCTCTGCCTCAGCCTGACGGTCTGCCCGCCTCAGGGCTTCCTCGTATAAAGCGGGTGGATTCCTAACAAAATCCTTGTAAAGTTCTCCTGATCGGATAGAATTTGTCAGCATTGCCACTCCGGTCCTGTCGTCAAGGCCCTGAACCATGAGGGACTAGGCCCTCCACCTTGTCAGGAAAGTGGACATGGCCTCTTTCTTTCCTTGCTTCAGGCTGAACAGGTGGCTGAAATTCTTCTTCACATCTCGTGAGCCGGCGAACCTCAAGTGGAAGTGCCTAGCCAACTCCCTGAAGTTCCCGATGCTCCCATCGGGCAGTGTGTCATACCACTCACGAGCCGGGCCATCTAGAGTAGCCGCGAATCCTCTGCATCGTATGGCATCTTCGTACCCCATCATGACCATATATGGCAGGTAACGTGATATGTGGTGTTGTGGGTCCGAAGTGCCCTTGTAAGTATCCACATTGCAAGGTTTGTAGCCCCTTGGCAAAGGAGCCTCCATTATAGCACGAGTGAAGGGCTCAGGGATATGGAGGTCGGCCACGTACGGCTCTCCCCCAACAACCCTTCTCCTTAACTCATCCAGCCTTACTCTGAGATCCTCCACGGCTTCGGGTGTTGGCTCCTCCTGCGCTCGCCCAGCACGGGGCTGGACCCACGCATAAGATTCTGTGACCCTTTCACGCATGAGAGGTTGAGGCCCAGCACGACGCCCTTCTAGGAGACCGGTCTGTCCACTTGGTTGGCGGAAGTGACGAGACAGGTCACGACCTCCCTCCTATGATGAGTCTTGACAGGGGCCCCCCATTCCGGGCCGTCGCAGCTGCTCGACTCGTCGAGGCACATGTTCCCTCCGGGGCGAGGATTCCCTTCGTGATTCGTCTGGGCTGGTATGTCGCCCTACGTATCTCCCGGAAGATGTTTCAAGGTCCTATGGGGTAACATGTCCCGAAATTTCGTGAATTGCCCTATGCGACATCATTCGTTGAAATCCCTGAGCCAATTCTTCAATGGCGCGTTCTTTGAGTTTCTTCCGGGCGAACTGGAATGGACTTGAGTTGACCCGTATGGCCTTGATCAACGTGATTTTCATCGGTATCATCGCGAACACGCGCTCGAGGACAAGGCCGTGCAACAAAGCCTTGAGGTGAGGACTGTGCGGATGTCTCCCCAGGGGAAGTTCGCGCAACCAAATCTCCGTGCACTCCAGGACGAGGCTGGGCAACCAAGCCTCCTGGTGACGACCGTGCGAGCGTCTCACCACTGCAAGGTTGCGCGACCAAATCCCAATGCATGGACCTCTTCTCTGTATCATTGGATCGGGCATGTACGGCCAAGCCTATTGGTCGTGACCGGGAGCTCACGTCGTCGGGTAGAGCTTGTGCAGCTTTGCTTCTTGGTGACGACCGTGCGGTCATCCCGCTAGGGCGGGCACATTCAACCAAACCTCCAGGCCGTGACTTTGCGTCCACCTCGCCACGTGGGGTTTGCACGGAGGGTACCCGACTTGTCGGGTGTCGCTGGGAGCGCTCGGTAGCTTGAGGACGTTCGCGAAGAGAGGGAACATGGCAATGAGCTTTACGTCGTGGACTGTGCTGGGAATCCGTGTGTGGACTTCGAACAGGAGGCGGCGGTGAGCATGAGTGCCCAAAATTTTTCTGACCACGCGGGCTGTGGGATTGCGACGACGAACCACGTCGTGACTCGCCTTCCCTGCGGCGCGATGGAGGAGGGGAACCGCTGCGTTTCCTTCGCCGGCTGGAGTCGGGCTTCCGCGGCGGCGCCATGTCTGTGGTTGGACAAGCTAGAATTGGGGGAACCTGCATGGCTGGAACACGGATGAACAAGGAATTGGGGGAACCTGCGGCAATGAATTAGGGTTGGGGTGCGGTCTGCTAGAGATTTTCTTTAAATAATAATAATAATAATAATAATAATAATGGGAATTATTATTTAGGGATAGCTCCAAGCTATTTAAGGAATAAATTGGAATGGAGCTGACCTGGGCCGTTTACGCTAAGTCCGAGATACGCATACACGTCTTGGATCTAGCAACTATGTGGTTAATACACGGCTATGAGAGGTAGGCCCAAATCATCAAAGCGGATAGAGAAAAGTGCGTACCGTTGGGATCAGTAAAAGGGCCAGTCAAGATCCTGGAAGAATAACCTTCCTACTTTTTGTCCGGACAAGGCAAATCTCACTTTTACGAGCAATGGGGCCATACACCGATGTGCAACTAGCCAACCGGTCAGATAACCGGACCAGCTTCAGAGCAGCTCAACTACTCCCTTTTAGCCGAGTCAACTACTCGACTAAGGGAGTGGAGGACTCGTGTTGGGATAATGGGCCGGGACCAATACTGTTGGCCCACTATATCCGGGTTTAGGCCTAAACAAGCCCAAGACATGACCTAACTAACGAAGATGGATCTTCAGATTGTTCATTTAACGGCTGGGCCGGCTGACCCAAAGGGGAAGAGTTAGTTGTTTAACTGGGCCGAGCCCATCAGTCTTAAGGCTTAGGCTATTTGTGAGCACCTATAAATAGGTCGCCCATCCTTTGTATGAGGGACTTTTGGACTTTTACAGTATCGAATTGCTGTCGGATTCTCTAGTCAACTTATTTTCTACCAACACTATTTAATTTTGATTTTTTTTAATTTAGGTGGTCAATTATAAGTAGTTAATCATCATTTTAGGATTTATACTAATTAAATTTGAAGAAAAAAATTATCTTTTAATAAATCGGTTACCCGAGGGGAAACCGTTACCCACGGGGAAAACCGTTACCCGCGGATAAAAAATACCCGACTGGTAACGGGACAGTTTCGGGAAAAAATATTATCAAACGGGGCGGGTACGGGTAATGGTATACCCGACCCCGAACCGGCCCGTTGGCATCCCTATTGCCAACTCATTCTTTGGTATATCAGTATAGCAAGGATGAACTTTGGAGGTACTTTTGAAGTCAAAATATATTTCAAATATAGTATTTCAAAATTCATCATTATCCATCATTTCAACTAACACTTCAGCACTTTATGCGTTTTCAACAAATTCAGCCAAGTTTGATACTAATGACTATTTCTTGTTCCTAAAAAGGCAGATTACTCTTTCAACGGTCCACTAGGAAGTACTCTGGCTCTGGAAAATCTAACAAGCCCGCGATTCCAAATTCGGAAAGATGACTACAAATGGTATTGGTTTTGCATCAACATTTTCTTTTTTTAAAAATGTTAATAACTTTTTTATTTTTGATCTGATTTTTATAAAATTTATATCAACATTTTTTATGATCTTTCAAATGAGACCAATATTGCCTATGTAATTTTAACATATTAACATTTGCGTGTAAAATATGTAACTTTACGTGTTAAAATATGTAACTCACGTTCAGTCAGGCCAAATGCAACTCGTGTGTATAAATATGTATCTCTACGTGTAACAATATGTAACTTTACGTAAAAAAATATGTAACTCGCGTTCAAACAGGTCAAATGCACCTCGTGTGTATAAATATGTAACTCGCGTGTATAAATATGTAACTTTACGTGTAAAAATATGTAACTTTACGTGTAAATATATGTAACTCGCGTGTATATATATGTAACTCGCTTATATATCAAATGTAACTGAGGTCACTGATCCACTCCCAAACAGATTCGATCTTCTATTTCACAAATCTATCATCTCTCAAACAGATTTGATTTTCCTTATAATCCGATACTCATTAATATAATAGTTCGTCAATTTCTTAAAATTACATAAGCAATATTGGTCTCATTTGAAAGATCATGAAAAATAAAAAATGTTGATATAAATTTTATAAAAATCGGATTAAAAATAAAAAAGTTATTATCATTTTTCAACAACAAAAGCAAAAAAAAAAGGGATAATTTGAGTTTGCACCCCATTTTATTATCCAAATTAGACTTTGCACCCCATTTTTCAAATCATTAGTATTTGCACCCTAACCTCGTATGAAAAGTCAAAAATGCCCCTCGATCAGGATTATGTTGAAGGCCAACAAAATTGTTAATTGAGGGGCATTTTAGTCTTTTCATACGGGGTTGGGGTGCAAATACTAAAGATTTCAAAAACGGGGTGCAAAATCTAATTTCGACAATAAAATAGGGTGCAAAGTCTAATTATCCCAAAAAAAAACAGTCATGCTGCGTCGTTTTGCAACCGGGCGCACCATCCTCATGGTGCGCCGATTGCACCATATAATTTGCTGTTTTGCATTGGAGATAATCTTCCAGAAGTGGAATATAGTACATAAACAAAATCTAGGGAGATACTATCCTCTGTATCTCATTAATTGAGACATCGGAATATATACACTATTCATGTACTTTACTTTGACTACATTTTATTTATTAATGTATGTGAATTATTTTTTTTTGAAAAATGTTGTTAAATTCGTTTCATTACTAAGTTTTATAATCTGATTTTTTTTTTTTACTAATACAGAACTAAATATAATGACGGTCAAAGTTGTGCGTTGGCAAACGTGAAATGTTGACTGTTGCAACCAAAAAGAGACGGAGGAAGTATGAGGGATCTCTAATCATCTAAATGAGATGCATAGCAAATCTTACACAAATATTTGGACTTTGGAACTGGGATCCAATGTGGCATATCGATTCTTGTTGGTCGCCCCAATACACTAAACTGCATCAGTTGGTCAAATGCCCCAAAAGTTAAATAGAAATTATCTTGAACAAGAGCAAAAAAGTTTTGAATTCCCCAAAAAGCACAAAGGAATACTTTCAGTCTAAGTTTTAAAAAAACTGCCATGTTTAAAGTATGGTAATGCCAAACTTGACAGAAATTACTACTAATTAGGGAATAAAAATATTGCAATCCTATTTTGCAATTTCAAAACGTTTTTAATTCCTATTTAGGGAATTTTCCCAGTTATATACCGGAGAGTCTCAGTCCATCAGTTAGTTAAATGCCCCAAAAGTTAGTCACCTGTGCTGTTATTCCAATCCTTGAGGTAGCCACAAAAATGACTCGCTTAATTCACAGTTCTCAACTAATATAAGACCTTCAAAAACATTTCACATACAGGTAGCTCTAGTAGTATACCTTCTTTCTATCGCTTGTGGGATTTTACCACTCCTACGGAGACGGGGCATGCCACTGCACACGAGTGGCCTCGCTCGGGTAAAACCTCCTCAAGTTTTGTAGTGTGCATACACTTCCAACCTGCTCTTGGCTTCACACAACAATGTCTCCACCTTGTCATCTTGAACCAAGAGCCCCTGCTGCTTTGATGCCCATTCTAGAGCCGACAGAACTTCGGCCTTGGCAAGCTCTTCACTGTCAGGAACGTGCATGGCAATGTAACAAAGTAGATACAATGCAGGACCTCGAATCGTCTGTCCACCAAAATAAACATGTTCAACCAAATGCTTCGCTCCACCTGAAGCTATGATCGCCTTGGAATGGTCCAAGTGAAGGTAGTTCTCCGTGCATGCAAACTTGGCGAGAGATATTGACGCCTCTTTGGAGACCACAGTTTCTTGGTCTTCGAGAAGCTTGACTAAAGGACGAATCATCCTTGTCTCCGTTGACCTAAACGTCCTGGCAAGATTTCCAATTGTCTTAATGCACGGTATGAGGAGATTCGGGACAGGCTCCTCGATGATTCTGAGCAGCTGGTCCGCCACAGCCTTGCATGCCGGAGAGTTTGGCTTGAACGCTGACCTTCTCAGGTCGTCGTCTTTCTCTGCCACAGCGGTGATCTCCATCACCGCCATTGCTGAGTTGTACTGGACCTCTTCTGGCCCTTTCTCCAAGAGAGCCGCGAAACACAATAGAGCTCTAGACTCAGTTATGCTGTGGCAAATGGGAGAGTTGTCTTTGCAGAGGTACCACAACGCTCTTGCCGCCATGGCTTTCATATAGGCCTTGGTAGATGGATCCTCAAGCTCTTTGGCATGATGATGGTGATGATGACTGGAGTGGTTCTGCTTAGCTGGATTTATCATGGCCATTGTATTGTTAACCACGTTATGAATCTGAGCATGATTCTTGTTGTTCTCCAAGGGGTGAGCAACTCTGCTTTTCAGGTAATCGTCATCATCATTTGTTACCGTGTTAGCCTTCAGAGAATTCTCATTGCTGGCTAACACAAGGGCGTGGATTGAAGTCGCCTTGCAAGAAACAGCATACTTGCTGTGTTCCAAGACTGTTTCGAAGGCGAGATGGCCTACCAGTAAGCGGATGATGTTGTTCTGGGCGAAGAGATCTTGGCATGTGGGGAAATGGGAAGCCAGCTCCGAGATCGCCCATGCTACTACGGCTTGTACTTTCATGGGACCTTGTTTGAGCATTTTACCAAACACTTGGCATACGCCGGCGTGCACCATGTGCTCGACGCTTACGGGATCCCGGCCCAACAGCCCGATTGCTCTGGCGGCGTTCTCTTGGCCTTCTACTTTGCCTTCCTTCAGGAGCTTTAGCAGCGGCCCAACGCCACCTTCCTCCATTATCAGCGTCCCATAACGGTCGTTGTCCCTGGCGAGAGAGACAAGTGAGGCCGCTGCGTCGGCCTTGTCGTCGGGAGACCCGGTGTGGAGGATAGCGATCTGTTCCCATATGAGGCAGAGGATGGGCTCGTTGGAGGCGATGGGAGGGAGGCCGAGGTGTTCTCCGACGCGTTCGTCGGCGGAGGCGGAGACTCGGAGGAGCCAGGACATGTCGCCGATGGAGTTATCGAGTTGGGATTGCATCTTGCGGAAGGAGGCGGCGGGGATGATGGTGAAGACGCGCTTGATGAGGCCGTGGGCGCGACACTTGAGGACAAGGTTCAAAGCCTTTTCCAGAACCTGGCCGGTGTCGTCAATGATCCGCCGCGTCGGCCGCTCGTAGAGATCGCTGCTGGTACGCGCGGCTTGGCGGAGAAGGGCGGCGAGCTTCTCCGTCCTGGACTTCAATTCTGCGCACTCTTGCTTGAAGGAACTCGCCTCGTCTGCAGCTTTGCTAACGTTGTCCGCCAACTGGATCGGCTTTGAAAGAATGAGCTTCACTTTGTCCGCCATTATCAGCAGGCCTAAAAAATTCAATCTTTAGGACTACTGTTCGACATCCCCAAAAAGGGAAAGCAGAATCTGGTGGGGTTTAACAAAGGAAATGGGGTGGAATTTATTTGATTATACTCTGATTAGGCATGGAATGAGTTGGGGCCGGGCGGGTACGGCAAAATCCAGACCTCGCCTGTCACCGGAAGGAGCTGGTCCATCCCGCTCCGTGAGCTGCATAGGTCCAAACTTCTTGACTCATGACCCCCCATGCGAGGTGGGTCCGTTCCGCCGTAACCTAATTAGCTAGTGTGTATTTTTATTTGTGAGAAGTTGTTATCACTTGAATCTACATAAAGTTTATCTTTAAATAATTATTAAACAAATAATATATTAGATCAAGTTCATGATACGCTAGAAATTTCAAAAGGTAAGGAAAAATCACCGAGACATGAATATTTAAATTAAGCATTACAATACTTGAATATATGTATTAAAATGCTACGTAGTACTCCCTTCGTCCCGAAATAAATGTCCCGCTTTCCTTTTCGGTCCGTCCCAAAATAATTGTCTTGTTTCCTCTTTTGGCAATAATGGGTGGCTCATATCAATTCACCTTTTTCTACTCAAATCTCAACCACAACTTTTACATTTTCAACCACTTTCTTAAAACTTGTGTAAAGCAAACAAGACAATTAATTCAGACGGAGGGAGTATATATAAAGAAGACATTGATAATATGTCGTTCATCTTAATCTAATATATGTACGGAGTATATTTTTATATTATACTTAAGATCAAAGAATTTATGGTTTTTTATATACACACATATGTATGTTGAAGTATATTTGCAGTACTCCCTCCAGTCCCTATTAAAGTTCCCAATTTGACTCCACACACATTAAGAAAATAAATTTGACTTTACTGTGGAGTGCATTGTTTGGACACTGTTTGACACGGTTTGACACTGTTTTGCACTGTTTTGTTTCCTACAATGGAAGTGTGAACTTAAATAAGGGACATCCCAAAAAGGAAAGTGAGAACTTTAATACGGACCGGAGGGAGTATAATTTAAAAAAAGTATGTATATACTTATATATTGAGCGGGTCGAGGCGGGTCGAGGCGGGGCGGAACGACACGAGTCAATACTAATACCCGGACTCATCCCATTGTATAGGCGGGGTGGAGCGGACCTGCCCCATTTGCAAGACGGGACGTGCCAGACCCGCCCCAAATGTCACGGACCAGGGCGGGTCATTGCGGGGCCGGTTTTTTGAGATCCCCAACTCCGATGACTTACTTAGGGGAAAACTTATTTTAATACTACTATAATAATACTGTATTACAATAATGGATGCTACTGGCGAGGTTGACATGAAAGAGAGGATGGGCATGATTTTCGTCCAAGGGTTTTCCTGGTGACATTTATGGCGGGCGGCATTTTCACGGGCGTCTCCTTCAATATCCTTTCTCCATGTCTACGCATTCGTCCCACCACTTATTAATGCTCTTGTTTCCTCATTTACTATGCTCTTCTCATTAAATCTTCACATCGAATCAAATCAACAGTTATTTGATCCCATTTTTATAAAATTTATATCATCATTTTTTATTTTTCATGATCTTTCAAATGAAATCAATATTGTTTATGTAATTTTAAGAAATTATTGAACTATTATATTAATGAGTATTGGATTATAAGGAAAATCGAACTAAATTTAATAAAGAAAAATAATTGTGTAAATCACAATATATCTTAAAATTGTGTATATAAAAAATTATTTTATTATGTATTTATACATGTGAGTTACATATTTTTATACGTAAAGTTACATTTTTGTACACGTAAAGTTACATATTTATACACACGAGTTGCATTTGGCCTGCCTAAACGCGAGTTACATATTTTTACACGTACAGTTACATATTTTTACACGTAAAGTTACATATGTATACACGCGAGTTGCATATTTATACACACGAGTTGTATTTGACATGTCTGAACGCGAGTTACATATTTTTACACGTAAAGTTACATATTTTTACACGTAGAGTTACATATTTATACACACGCGTTGCATTTGGCCTGGCTGGAAGTGAGTTACATATTTCTACACGTAAAATTACATATTTTACATAAGTTAATATAATAGTTCGATAATATGTTAAAATTGCATAGGCAATATTGGTCTCATTTGAAAGATCATGAAAAATAAAAAAAATTGATATATATTTTATAAAAACCAGATCACAAATGAAAAAGTTATTATAGTTTTTAACAATAAGAGAAATAAATAAATAATAGAACACACTATCATTTTAATAATGTTTCATGCTAAACTTCCAAAATGCCTAAAACAGTATGCTCACCGTATACCGGTCATACGGTATAACAACTGTAAAAAAAGATGACACCCCATCCTTGAGTGCCTCCCAACACCGACCGAACGGTATGTTGGGAGGACGCAAATTGGATTATAATCACAATCTGACAGATAGAGAGTTGAGCTTTGTCCCCATTACTTGCAGAGGCCAGGGGCGGATTGGGCCTTAGGCCAGGCAGGGCCAAGGCCCATGCTGATTTTTTTTAAAACTAGTATAGGTGTTTAAAAATTAGGCCCAGTCTCAATTTTTAAAAAATTAGGCCCAACCTGAATTTTGAAGTCCAAAAAAGAAAAAGTTCGTTTCTTTCTTTGTTTGTCGGTGAAACAAAACGTCAAAACCAGAGGATCCGCGCAAACGGCAAAACCCCAAACGAGTGACGCCGTCTCTGGCTCTGCGACTCTCACGGTCTCACCTGCCGCCTGCCGGACGGCCACTGGACGGCGCACGGCGCGCCGGTGGCTCGGTGCTGCACGCCTGCACCGCCTGCACTGTTGAGGTCTGCGGTCTGCCGTCTGCGGAGTGCGGTCTGCCTAACTCGAGAACAGCTGAAGTGCTGAACGCGGAATGCCTGAAGACCGAGAAGTAGCTCTACACTTCTGCAGCTCTGCGCCTCTGCTTGACTAGTTGACTGCTTCAGGTATTTTTTTTAAACTTTTAATTGTGAAATTGTAAATTGTGAAATTGTGAACTTTGTGTAAAATTGTGAATTTGATTATTAATTGTGAACTTGTAAATTGTGAATTTTAAACTTGGCTTGATGTGAAATTGTGAATTTGATTATTAATTGTGAACTTGTAAATTGTAATCATCATTTGTAGTATGTATTTGCTTGTGACTTGTAGTTGTTCTAATTAATCTAATTATTAAGTTAATTATATTCGTGTAGTAAGTAGTCATCCCGTTATTTTCAACATAGGTAAATAGGTAATGAAGAGATACTATAACCCTGTTGAAGAAAAAGCTAATGAAAGTAGCTCATCAAAAATTGTAGTGCCGGCTGTGCCGTCAACTACAATTCAAGAAAACTCGACAACAAATGACGAAGAGCATACAATCATACAATCAGTCGCCGCTAATGAGTTTGATGCTTCCCAACTTCCATCTGACCCTGGATTGAGAATACCGATCTCAAGGTATCATCCAAATATTAGAGATCAAGTTCGAAGAGCATATTTGCAGAAAGCCCCTGGCCTTGTCAACCATTTGAGCATGACTTCCCAATGAAGATGGTTTCTGCAAATAAATCAAGAAGATTTGTTCCGACTTGGTTTACTGAACATGAATGGTTGGAGTATAGCATATCTAAAGATGCTGCTTATTGTTTGTATTGTTACCTTTTCAAACCCAACAAAGGGAAACAATCAGGAGGAGATGTGTTTGTTTCAGAGGGATTTAGCAGTTGGAAAGATAAGGCCAAACTTAATGTTCATGTTGGAAAGCATGATAGTGAGCACAATCAAGCTCGAATGAGGTGTGATGCATTGATGAACCAAGATGCACATATTGAGACAATTTTGGACAATCAATCAATGCAGACAAAGCATGATTATCGCATTCGACTGACAGCCTCTCTTGATTGTGTGCGGTACTTGTTGAGGTTGGGGTTACCTTTCCGCGGTCATGACGAATCTGAAGACTCTCTAAATCCAGGTAATTTTCTAGTGACCATGGAATTTTTAAGAGATCATAATGTTGAGATAGCTTCTGTAGTAATGGATAATGCACCGGGAAATTGTAAACTTCTTGCACCTAGCATTCAAAAAGATTTAGCTCATGCTTGTGCTATTGAAACGGTGAATGCTATCATTCAAGATATTGGAGATTCTTTATATGCTATTCTAGTTGATGAATCCCGTGATGTATCAACAAAAGAGCAAATGTCAATTGTGATACGTTATGTTGATGCTAGTGGATATGTGAAAGAACGATTTATTGGAGTTGAACATGTCACTAGTACCACATCACTTGCACTTAAGGAAGCGATTGACACGCTATTTTGTAGACACAACTTGAGCATATCTAGATTAAGAGGGCAAGGTTATGACGGGGAGAGTAATATGCAAGGGAGGCTAAGTGGGTTGAAAACAATTATTCTTAATGAGAACCCAAGTGCATATTACATTCATTGCTTTGCACATCAACTCCAACTTGCCCTTGTAGCTGTTGCAACAAAGAATCTTCTCATTTCTGATTTTTTTCGTGTTGTTGCTCAATTGATAAATGTTATTGGAGGTTCGTGTAAACGTTCTGATATTCTTCGTGAAAAACAATTGAACTTCATTGTTGAAGCGCTTGAAAGTGGTAAAATTTCAAGTGGAAGGGGTCTTCACCAAGAATCTTGCCTTCAGCGCGCGGGTGATACACGTTGGGGTTCACATTATAGATCTTTGGTGAGCTTGATTTCAATGTTTTCTGCTGTTGGTGATGCTCTTGATGTGATACAAGATGATGACGTAACTACGTCTATGCAAAAGGTGGAGATAGAGTATTTACTCAAGATGATGCATTGCTTTGATTTTGTTCTAAATTTGCATATGATGAAATTTATTTTGGGAATATCAAATGAGTTGTCTCATTCTTTACAAAGGCGTGACCAAGATATTGTCAATGCAATGGATCTTGTTAGAGTTTGCAGGTACAGACTTCAAGCTTCTAGAGATGACAAATGGGATTCATTGTTTGAGGAGGTTTGTAATTTTTGTGATCAACATTCTATTGATATCCCAAACATGAATGACACATTCATCCGTTTTGATTCTCGAGGTCGCCCCGT